TKTRWAATTTTACTTACTGTAGTCTTACCTGTAATCAAATTAGAAAAAAACAAAACTAGCAATCAAAGAACGAACTGCAGATCCACTTATATGCAGACCCATAAAATTGCCAGATCCATTGAATTTGCATCATCGATTTTCTGTTGATGCAGTTCCATCCACCTACCCGCAGAATCTGTCCAGATCCATTCATGTATCTGCACATCCACTCGTGGAATTTTTGGCAACATCGAAGCCTGTGGCCATGCAAGCCGATCCATTTAATTTCCAGATCCATTTAATTTGCACCATAGATTTTTCTGTTGATGGAGATCCATCCACCTGCCCACAGAATCTGTGCAGATCCACTCATGTATGCGCAGATCCACTCATCGAATCTTTTTGTCAACATCGAAGCCTGTGGCCATGGAAGCCTGTTGATTTAGCAAACCAATGCCTTCAGCCACTCAGCCATACCTCCCGGGAAAAACGGGATTTGAACCCGCGACTTGTGTTTCAATTTCTTCAGGTCTGTGTTTCATAGCTTTTTATGAGGTTGCACTGGGAGCGGCTATGGAAGACTGAGGCCATCGAAGCCTGTGGCTATGGAAGACTGAGGCCATCGAAACCTGGAGGCCATCAAAGCCTCTGTGGTCATCGAAGCCTAGAGGCCATCAAAGCCTGTGACCATTGAAAAGCCTGAGGCCATCGAAGGCTGTGGCTATGGAAGCCTGAGGCCATCGATGCCTGAGGCCATCGATGCCTGAGGCCATCGATGCCTGAGGTCAATTGTCATTGGGATTGATGAGTAAGAGCTTGAGGAGCAACAGTGTTTGCAGTGCTATAAAGTTACTTCCAGTGAATTTAAAAACGAGAAGAAAAAAGAAAGAAAAAGAAAAAAAAAAGAAAAAAAAAGAAAAAAAAGGAAAAAAAAAAGAAAAAAGAAAAAACGAAACCTTATCCTCGCCACTGGATCATGTGGGATCGGAGTCGGAAGACAACACCTTTACACTCGTTCGTTTGATAATTGTTATAATCAACGTTATTCAAATTTTTTTATTTTTTTTTTTCTCTTCCAATGCAAAAAGTTTCGTTTTTAAAAAAAAAATTGACACTTGAAAGATACGATTGATTTTTTCGATTCATTTTTGAACTCGCGAAAAAAAAAAGTAAAGAAAAATCATTTTCACTTGTCCTGTAGGAGTCAGACATCCGGTAAAATGGATAGAGAAGATTAGCATGGACCGTGAGCAAGGATGTCACACATAATCAATAAATGGTCCAAAAAAAAAAAACAAAAAAAAAAA